GGCCAACCATATCATAGGATACTTGAAAATTAGGCTACTGGAAGCTTATTTAATTGTGGTCTGTCGTCATTCTTGAAATAATGATCTGGTTGTGTTTTCTCCCTATGACGATGTTAGAATCGTCAGAAATGGTTAGGAAATTAATTTGTTTTATTCATTTCTCCACTCATATTTTCGAAAATTGTTCAGAAATGACATGTTATCTTGCATTTTACTTCAAACAAAATAATTTGCATTTTTTATAATTTAAATAGGATATCGATGCCATTATCCGTGATCTTCTTGAGGGCAACCATTCCGAAGATGATTCTGAGGAGGACCACAAGGATTCCGTTAAGAAACGTCCATGCAATGAGGTTGCAAAACACGAACAATCTAGCACCGATTGCTTGGAATGTGAAGATGGCCTCACATTAGCTGATCAGGAGAACGGAGATGTAGCGGATTCAGATCACGTCACAAAGCGGCCCAAGTCCTATCGTAGTGGCCGCCGAGGACAGATCTCTACAGGTCTTTCATCCGTATCCTCATCTAAAATTGATCCGCTTTACAATCTAGATCGGGTTCAGGCTTTACGCGATTCGCTGCTGGACTATCTAGTCGCAGAGGAGTCAGATCCAACCGCTATGGTATAGTATTCCATTTTTTATACCGAGTTTCAATTATATAATTTTTTATCGAAGGTATGAAGACCAAGATGGTGTGAGTAGAACATATGGGGTGGCAAGGGTCGAATGAAATTCGTTAACCAGGGAGAGAGCAGACAGATCTTATGGGAGAAAGGGAGAGACTGTGATAAGACCTAGGGAAGGAGGATTGCTTAACAATATGGCAAACTGATCAACATTCTAGCTCACGGATAAACGGGTGAGAACGACAGCGTGGAGTATAAATTGTTTTCAAGAATGCCGCTCAAAGAAGCACACCACACTATATCGAAATAGGCACGGTAAAATTGTAACAATGAAGGCGTGATAGGAGGATATAGGAAATGTGAATAGCCCAGGGAAGATTGTTTTATTTTCAGATAATCTCTTATGTATAGGATGACAGGTCCTCCTAACATATAGATACCACATGAACAAAAACTCTTTTTGATAGAAGATATGAAGACCAAGATGGTGGTCGCAGTCTCCTTTCGTT